ATGTTAAATTGCTCCTTTAGGGGTTGTTTTTAGAAGTCTGGAACAGATTAATCCATTTTGCATTATTTTCTATGGGAAAGCGCGCCTTAGTTTTAGAACGCTTTGGTTTTGGAACGGACCTCCGGAACAGATTAAGTTTGAGAACCAAGGTACCACTGTAATGAGCCCTGCAAGGTCTTATGATCTCCCTCTCTTTACATGGCGTTTTATTATTTCACTTACTTTCAAATGTGAGAAGCCGACCGTGACAAATTTGGGGGCCCTCCTGCTCATTCTGCTGAGTAGTGCTATGGACACATCTGCCCCACCCAAACAAAGTCCAGTCCTGATGGCACCTCTGCTTCTGGGCAGGGTCTGGGGACTGATTCCCTGCCCCTGTGTTTCTACAGCTGCAGAGCAACAAAGAAAGTGCTATAAAAATGATTAAGTGCTGTAGAAATTATTAATATAAAACTGCCAGGCTTTTACAAGTGCCAGCTAAAGATTCCTGATAAAAGCGAAAAGTCATTTTTAGCGATGGGAGACTTGTGTCAAACCCATAGTCAAAAATATTAATAAGAGATTACAAAACTCGGAGGGATTTCTCGCAGCAATAAAGGAGATGTTACACAGGAAGTATCTTCAAGTCAGAATTTTTAAATGGAAAGTAGGAATAGCTGCACCACTTCTTTCTCAGGAACTCCTGATGATTGTGCCCCTTTTAAAAGGAGGGATGGCTCTCATGTTTATTTTGAAGCAGGGTAGTTTAATTATTTATGTTCATGTAAACAGAGTGGTGCACTGGTCCCTGGCTCAGTAGTTCTACCCAGACAGATCTGACTGCAGGCTTTAAATATGTCTCCCAGAGGAAGTTAGTTTCATTTGGATTAATATGCATGCTTAGTGGGTAGTTATTCATACTGGAGAAGCCCCTCGTGCTGGGACAAATAGAAAGCCTCTGAATAGTATAGCATGAAAGGAGCAACAAGCTATGCACTGCAAAAAGAGCACACGAGGCTTTTTCTGGTTGCATGCTGATGTACGGGTAATACTTATAGAGCAGGAATGGGGAACCCTTGGCTCTCAGGATGTTGCTAGACTACAACTCCCATCAGCACCGGCATTCATGGCCAATGGTCAGGGATGGTGAGCATTGCAGTCCAACAACATCTGGTGGTCCAAAGGTTCCCCACTTCTGCTTAAAAGGATTAAGCATATATTTTATTTTTTAGAACTTTTGTCATCCTTCACCCGAAGGTCCCAAAGCTAAGTATACACGCACACACTAACACTTAAAAGAGAGTATTACTCTGACAATATAATTCATTGAAAAAGAATCACAAAACAGTAAGACCACAAAGTAGCTGCAGAAAATTATGCACATGTCTAACCCTTCTTTTCCTGACACCTTAGTTGGGATTAACCCACATACCTGTTTTCTTTTAAAAGATACGCCATCACCTTCAGATGTCACAGCTAAGATTTGGAGTATGCTCAAACTTTCTCCATTAGTGTTCTTCAGCTGGGAACAATTCAGCCTCACAAATGAGGTGAGAACCACTAATTTTTTTACCATCATCTCTCAGCTTGTTGGATTTGAACACCTGGGGTAGATAGTCTGCAGAGAATGCTGCTTCACCATCTGTATAGGACTTGGGATCTAATCCCCCAGATGGCAGCATTTATGATGTCTCTCCAAGCCTAATTAATCTCTGTTTTGACAAGTCCGAGGGAAAGCTTCCCCCTCTCTCAAGCAGTAATGGGTACAGCAATATTTTGGGTTGTTACTTCACATTTTCTCCAGAATTTGCTCTTTGGCTGTGCCATGCTCAGGTTCCTCTGGAGATATTTTGGCAGCCAAGGATAATATTTCATCAGGTTCCTCGATGATGCTCTCCAGTTGCTGTTTTAGGGGCTGAAGGAGTCCTTATTAGGACTTCCTGGGGCTGGTTATAATTTGGATTGTTTTTCACAAAGATCTCTTAACAGTAGATAAATCCCTTTAGCCTCCGTGACCTTTCTAAAATGCAGCTTGTAAACTGATAGCCAGATTATTTGTTATTTATTTCCCCATCAGTGCTTATTGTATTCCTTTTGGAGTTGTGTTCCATTAAAGAACACATGCAAGGATCAATAGCTGGATCTTTATCTTCTTTATGAGTTTATTCGCTCTTTCTCAGATAGTGACTGAAGAGTTCTTACATGGACAGCTTCAACCTTGAATCTTTTGTTCTGGTTATAGGCGCCACTTATTTCTAATCAGACTTGAATCATTTCTATATTTTCAGAACAGTGCAGTGCATGAAGAGCTGAGACCATAGCACACACACTGCTCAGTTATCTAAGATTTGCAGTGAACTGCAATTGGTAGCAGACACGGGACCATTAGCATGAGTGGGGCATTACCCGCTATTCTCAGTCTGCCCTCACCTAGTCTTCACTAGCCTTCCTTCCTACTTGCAAACTGCCCAGGAGCTGGCACTGCCTGTGTCAGCTTCCTCCTCCTTATTCTTGGCATTGTCCGTGTAGAAGTCAGCATGTGGGGAGGGGAGCAAGACTAGAATTAGCTGGATCTGTCTATCATGGGTTCTGGCACCACCTACTGTTGGTCTACAAGCCTTCCACCCTACCAGTCACTATGGGCAGCAACCACAACTGGCAGCTTGAATCTCCTGTCAGAGAACTGGCTGGACGTAGTTTTTGGATTGCCTGGATCTGGATCTCCTCCCAGGCATGCATATCTAAAGAGACTTCCTTGGAGGACAGTGGAAAAGTACACCCAAGACAGAATGATTTTTACTGGGTTAATTTTATTGTTGCTGAAATATTTATACCTAGAGCAATTTACAAAAAATAAAATAAAAAATAAAAATAAGGTAAAGGGACCCCTGACCATTAGGTCCAGTCATGGCCGACTCTGGGGTTGCGGCACTCATCTCGTTTTATTGGCTGAGGGAGCCAGCGTACAGCTTCCGGGTCATGTGGCCAGCATGACTAAGCCGCTTCTGGCAAACCAGAGCAGCGCACGGAAATGCCGTTTACCTTCCCGCCGGAGCGGTACCTATTTATCTACTTGCACTTTGACATGCTTTCAAACTGCTAGGTTGGCAGGAGTAGGGACCGAGCAACAGGAGCTCACCCCGTCGCGGGGATTCGAACCACTGACCTTCTGAGCAGCAAGTCCTAGGCTCTGTGGTTTAACCCACAGTGCCACCCGTGTCCCTAAAAAATAAAAATATTCACCTGTAAATTCATGACCATGACTAAGAGTTGCTTTCTTTTTAATCAAGCCTAATGCCAGCACGTTCTGGTAATAAGGCTATCCTATCCAAATCTCACTTTATCATCTTACAAACATATGAAGAGCCCTGCCGAGTCAGGCCAGTGGCACATCGAGTCCAGCATCCTTCTTCTCACAGTGGCCAACCAGATGCCTGTGGAAAGGCTGCAAGCAGGATCTGAGCCAAACATCACTCTCCTCACCCGCAATTCCCAACAACTGGTATTCAGAAGCTTACTGCCTCCAGGCAGTGGAGGTTTTAAGATGATGCATGTCTCTTCTGGGATTCCCACATCATTCACAAACATCTCAATCCTTCACCAAGTGATTATCGGAAAAGGCATCAGGGTTGGCTGCAATATGTTGCTTCACCAAGCTATATGACCAGTATGCTTGCGTAGGCTGACTTGTTGTTTTTGAATGTTGATTATGTGTGTTTATTCATTATTTTTACAATTCAATTTATTGCTGTGTTTTCGTGATTTTTGTTTCAGTTGCTTTTAGATATTTTGTAACAATACACACGCAGAGAGAGAGAGAGAGAGAGAGAGAGAGAGAGAGAGAGAGCAGGATGAGATACAGCTGTATAATAAATATATCAGGCTTCCCTTCCAAAGCTTGCCACTCCTACAGTGCAATTTTCCAGCTATGTTATGGGGAAAGGGCTTTGGCCCAGTGGTAGAGCATCTACTTTGCATGCAAAGGGTCCCTGATTCAATCATCAGCATCTCCAAGTAGGGCTGGGAAGGGTTACTGCCTGAATCCCTGGAGAGATGCTCCTAGTCAATATAGACAATACCGAGCTAGATGGACCAAAGGCCTGACTCGGTGTGATGCAGCTTCCCATATTCCTATGCTTATCACTTCCAAACACAGCTGCTCCTATTCTATGTTGGGTATGTCATAGGAGAAGAACATAACCTACTTCATTAATTTTCAGTGATGCCCCCTCTCTTTCAGGAGTGAGTTTTCACACTCCTGTAGCATTGCATTGCCCAGTGACAGCATGGTCCTCAAGCAGTAGAAAGAGGAAGCCACTAAATGGCCAAATCCACAAATGATGGCAGTTCTGGGAGCAGCATGAACAACAAAATGCTCCACACACCAAAGGAAAATGATTAGTGCCACAGTGGTAGAGGTCTAGAAGATTATTCTTGCCTCTCTGTTCTTTTCTTAAATTCCTCAATCCATATGTGATGTAACAGAGCATCCAGGGACAGGGAAGACCCAGATTCAAATATCTACTTGGCTATGAAGCTTACTGAGCGACCTTGGGTCTGCTTGCTAGATTGTAAGTTTGAGCAGAGTGGTGTTTTTTATTATTATTAGAAGCTAGCTGCATGCTCGAACACTTCTTTAAAAATTATTCATTTGTTGTGATTTATGAAGCTATGCAACTTTTCAGTTCTTCCCTGACCTTGAACTCATGGGACGCATTAGGAGAAAGATGCAGTCCAGCAAGTTAGCAGGTAAGGTTGAGGTTACAGGACCATGGAGAGCTCCAGGTGAGCAACTTGCTCTATCAAGGCCTGGTGTCCAAATGAAAGGAGTCCCTTCGCCATTCTCAGTGCAAATTAACCCTCCCAGGCCTTACCTTTTCCCTGGACAGTGGTGAGATTAAAGCAGAGCTGGGGGATTTGTTTGCCCCCTGAGGGCCAAATTTAACAGTGGGGGTGGGACTCGTGCCACTGGCCTTGGCCAGAGTGGGCAGTGAGCAAAGCCTGGGCTGTTGGTGGGTGGGACCATTCCCACACATATTCATATTCATTCACATATGATCATGACAAACATATGCACACATTCATCCTCCCTTCTCCATGTGCCATCCTCCCATCACAATTGTGTTTACCACCACTCCAAGCCCACCTGGCAGCTGTTTGCCAGGCTTGGGAGCTGTATAGACTTGAATGGAGTGAAAAGGGGGATGCAGCAAAATTTGGTAGTGGGGGGTAATTCAACCGGGGGCTTGGACACTGACACAAGCCACTCTGAGAGCATCTGGGGGCCATAAGTGGCTACCAGCCATAGGTTTCCCAAACATGATTTAAAGGGTCAAGCTCTTGGCCTAGCACCCAATACTCCTCTCCATTAATTCTTTCCTGGCTTAGTACCTGTGCTGATGATTCAGTGATAGGGAGCATGGCAACCCAGACAGAAGTATCCTGGCTGACTGTGGCTGGTTCTAGGCCTTACCCTTCTATATGTTGGTTATATTATGTTCAACAATGCTATCCAAAACTTTTCTTGGGAGACAGTGGACTCAGGTATACAGCTGCAAACAAAACATTTTGAATGTGTTGTAAAGTGCAATGTGACACTAGATGGCGACGGCGAGCTATAGCAAATCCAATGCATTTTTTCAAAACAATTTTTTTTAAAAAAAGCATTTTTGCCACGTTTTTAACATGTGTATAGATCCCACCAGTATGGTAACCAGCTTTTAAAACATTGGTGTAAAAATATATTGTAGTTTTAAAGCTTTCCCTCATTATCTTGCCCAAGAACATGCATTATTATTAATAATTAAATTTGTATATCACCCTTCATCCATATTGTAATGAATTTGTTGTTGCTTAAGTCAAATCCTAAGCCTCAAACTGAAAATGGCTTCTAGACTCAAACTTTAGACATATAGATGTGACCATTCAAACATCTCATTGGTTCTTGTCCTTTGATCTACAGCAAGAGAGCTAGGCAGGGCAACCCTATCCTTTGAAGTAATTCCCATCAAATTCAATGGGACTTTTTTGCAGGCAAGTGAGCTTAGGAGTGCTGCCTCACTCATTCATTTTGATGTTACTGAGTGCTCTGCATATCTTTCCCATACGCTCATCAGATTATGTAATCAAAATGAGGATCTCATTCCCTTTCTACACTATTATTTTACTCATTTTGAAATTGAAAGTGACACTGCCAAGTAATTTAGGCCTCACAAAAATATATATAATAAAGTTAAGAGCTTAAAAATCCTAATAGGATCAAAAATGCTTTCATAACATTGTAATAAAAATGTCAGAGAAAATGAGAGCTAAGTAAAATTGATTCAGATCTTTGCCATACATATCAAAAACCTTGTAAATTTTGATCAGGAGCAAACTGTTGTATACAAAGTTCCCAACATTCAGAAGCCTCATCCAGCAGACACTATTATATACGATAGATCTTGTCTTATCTATTGGAAGACAGGAAAAGAATCCACTATATATTTTGGAAAGTGGTTGGTTTGTCTGTTCTCTATGCACCAGACACTTCTTGAGATATTATCACATACTTGGTATAATGGTTCCAGAGATGGAGGAGGTAGCTGTCATCTAAGTTTGGATACCAGATGCCATTTCAAATCAAGATGGCGGCGTGAATCTAAACTTCACTGATTCAGATGCCTCTGGAGATATCACCCAGTTTGCTGTGATGATTCCCAAAACTGAAAAGCGAATTTTAGTCTATATATTGGGATACCTTCAGGTGCTATTTTGAACTCAGATGGTGGATCATACTATTCAAAACTGTTCAGATGCTGATGCCTTGGAAATCATCACACAATCTGACATAGTGTTGTCCTATTTGGCATGAAAGTTCCAACCTGCACCAATTTAGATGCCTCTGAAGATGCCACTGCCCAATTTGGTGTAATAGTTCCTGAGAATTAGGAGTGGGTTTTTGTTTATGTTTGGATACCGTTAGATGCCATTTTGAAGCAAAATAACCGACATAAGCATTTCAGACTGCACTGATTCTAACCAAATTTGGCAGGAAAAATTGTAGGGCTGAACGAAACCAGGACAACCTAGGCAGATCCAGTAGACAGAACCATCTATTCTCTCCTCCTTTGGTGCCTCCAGGATGTAGGTGGTGGGGGAGATAACTCTGCCTCCTGAAAGGTGGGAGCGCTGGCAAAATGCCCCCCTCTTGAAAGGAAGGGCTATTCCCAATGTCTGATCGCACTAGGGTAGGTGACATGGCACACCACTCTCATCATGGAGATAGGTAAGGCAAGTGAGCACATTCAGGGAGCCCTCCCAAGATGCCCACTATCAGGCTGCCCCAATTCTGGCAAAGAGCTCTACATCCCACAGGAGCCTTACCACAGGTTCTCAGTAAACCCTCCATCTGTATCATCCCGTCTTGACCAGCCCATGGCAATGGCAAAGAGGGGAGTCTGGCATGGCAGCAGAGCACATGCAGCAGTGCAGGAGCCACCCATGTGGGGTCGAATCCCTCAGGCTGCAGGGGTCTGCTCTGCCCTTTTGAACCCCACCGGGGGAAGTGCTGGCAAAGCAACACCCAGCAGGACTAAACCCTTCTGCCCTCTGCAGTGTGGTCATGAGGGGTGAAGAGAAGGCACAGCATCTCCTTCCTCCACCACCTTCCTGACTGTATGGGATATTTAAAGCCCTAATTAAACATTAGGGTCCCACCACCACCGCCAAATTGATTCAGGGCTAGCTTCTGGTGCAATACTCAGAGTTCCCTGGGAAGAGGGGTTGGTTGATAAACCACTCAGGAAATTGTAGCTGCATGCAGGAGACAGGAGTATTAACAATACTCAGCACCCTTAACATACTGCTGTTCCTGGGAATTTGGTGGTGGGGGGAGCCATGATTGTTTATGAAGTGGTGTGATCCTGCTTTAAATGCATAGTGCAGATAGGGCCAGAGAAAGGGGAAAGAGGAGAAAACAGAAGGAAGGGAAAGGAGCTTGAATCAGAAGTCTGTAAAATACTACTACTCTTCATGCTCTAATAGCCAATATACTGCCAGTCAGAACTCTATGTGTTGCTATTGTGTCTTTACAGCCTCTGGAGTTCCATAGTTAAAGTTAATCTCCTACAGTCTCTTGTCAACTGGGCTACGATATACTGTATGATTTTAGAGTTGCTCTTTTAGTTGCCATAGCACATCCACTAGCCTGGTTTGGACTGGAACTGAACAAGTAACATCTTAAGCTGTACAGGTGTATGGGTTCAACAGTGGGGTCTGCCATTGTCTCAGAGCAGTCTAAAGAAAGATCTCTCCACACAGTTCTTAAAATCTTGCATCAATGTTGTGAAGAGACCCCAGTGTATTCGATGAGCAAAATCTGCAGTCTATTTCTTTACGTCAGCCTCCACCAACCTATTGTCCTTAAGATGTTCTGAACTACAACTCTCATTGACCCCAATCATCCCAGCCATGCTAGCTGGGACTGACACAAGTTGTAGTCCAAAGTCTGTGGTGGGCACCAGGTTGGCAAAGAGTGTTCTACATAAATACATCACTCAGGTTTTCTTATCTAGTGTAGCTCCTTGCTTCCTATACACATGTAGATCACTTCATTGGCAAGAGTCTCGAACTGCACTTCTTGGTTCTTATCTTAACACTTCTTTAGAGTTTGCTGCCGACAGTGATCTCATTTTCCACATGTTCACTTAACCATTGTGATATCATACTTATCTGTAAACATCTATAGGAGTGAGGTGGGCAAGCACTTGTAATTTCCCAAAAGATCACATTCTGCTATCTTTAATTAGGTTCTTATTCTTTGTCATTTTCCCCTGTTCCCACAGCATGAAATTGTGTCAATCTGGAAAATGAATTGGTGTTCTAAATCACAAATGATAATAGGACAAGAGCTGGACATAATTCTCTTTTACATTTATCCGGTTTCTTCTTCTCCCCCACCCCCAATCTTTTTTTAAAAAATAGCACATAGCATGATATGATCTTCAGCCATTCTATGGCATGCTTTTCTTCTTTGTCTACCACTGTCACTGAATGCCATCTAAAATTAAATGGGAAAAATTGCTGGGGGATAACATGGGACTATATGAAGCGGTCAGACTATTTGTTCATCTAGCCCAAGACTGCCTAACTACTCTGTCTGGCAGCAGGTCTCTGGGGTCTTCAGCAAGAGATATTTTGCATCAATGGCTACTGGACCTTTTTTAAACGAGAGATATGCTGGGGTTGAACCGAGGACCTTTTGCATGCAAAGCATAGGATCTGCTATTAAGGTGTCCAAGTAAGTATCATTTTTAAGAACAACAAAAAAGCCCTGTCTCTACTTGGCACCTTCACTTGGGGGAGGGAGGGAGAAGTGGAGGTACCAAATACAACCCAAGCTGGGGAAAAGGCACACCAACTTTCCTTTATCACTCATGCTGTTTTCCACAACATGACACTGCAGCTGGTCAGCTGGTGAGTGCTGATGCGACCCAAGAGTTCAATTTTCTTTAGTCTCACAAGAAAGTTGAGGATATCAGGGGTTTTCACTTTGGTTTTCTCACATATAGCCAGCCCAGACCTTTTTCTTTTCTTTTCTTTTTTTTGCCTGAGGTACATTTGCAGATGGTGTCTCCCACTCCACTTCCAAGTGAAGGTGCAGAATGTCCCAACACGGTCTATGGCATCTGAGACCAAAAATCCTATAAGCACCTCTCCCCCTTCCCCCGGCTGTAAAAGTACAGTAACTGTGAATTAAATAAGCAACAACTGGCAGTCATTTCATAACATCCCAAATCGGCTATCTGAGGTGTTGCCTCATATTGTCCAATGGCAGATTTGGCACTGCAAGCAAGCCCAATTCATCTTGCAGCAGTTTGCTCTAGTGAAGAAGCTTGCAGATAGGTCTGTCTAATGGAATTTTCTCAGAAAAATAACATCTCAGAAGTGTGAATGAAGGCATGGATGCATCTACAAAATCCTGTTGAACTGAACATGGCTTCTCACATGTATAAACCTTGGCAGGTTTGAAGCCGCATCTTTGGACAGCAATGAATATTCCTGGCACTCTGCACTAAATAACACTGCAATTTACTGTTTCAAACCCAGTTGAGATTAAGCGACAGCTTTATTAAGGGGCAAACCTCATCTAGCTTACACAATGATCAAATGGATCTTGGCAATCACTAATGCAAACAGGAGTGTTGCAGACATTTGTTTCAGGCAAAGCCAGTCCAAGATTAACTATATGTTGCTGAAATACAATTAAAAAGAGAGTGATGCAAACCATCAAGGAAAACATTATTCTTACTTTGCATCCTCTTCTGTCCAAGGCCCAGCTTTTATTAATGCTTTGATCATTGTGTGCCATGCAATCTTTGTTATTCAAAAGCTCCTTTTATCGCCACCAGGGCTTGGCCAATAACCTTGAATGATAACTAATGAGCAATCAAGGAAACAGATCATCTCAAATCACACCCAACCTTTAAGGTGGGGATAAGCTTGTGAAATAAGTTGGTATCATCTGAACGTGGGGTGTGGGTCAAGAGACCTGGAATGGGAGAAGGGTGGGAAATAAGAACTTTTCCAGAGCGATGGAAACACAGCTCTTACGTTTGGGGCTCCAAGGGGTACTGCCGTGGCTTTAGGACCGGTCTGTTTTGCAGCTAGTGCTATCTGCCTGTGAATATGCTTGCTTGCCACTTGTTTAGCCTGTAAGTTTCAGGGACTGGCAGGGCTCCAAAGAGTGTGTGGCAGAGGCAGGGGACCAGGGCAGTGACCCAGAAGAGGGGAGCTGTGGTTTATGGGGTGTGATGTCAACCGCAAGGCAGGAGCCGGGGGAGGAGGGAGAATCAGGGCAGACTGAGATGGATGAAGGAGAAGTCTCAGGTTGAGGGCATGCAACCCATCAGGGGAGGGTATTTAAGCCACCACAGGGGCGGAGCTTCCCTGATGCTGCAACTGCTCCATAGGGTCTAGACCTGTGGACAGCTGCCCAGAGGCTAGAAGCGTGTGAGCATGTATATTGTGAGCACCTTGCTGCAAGTGTTTCTCTTTCCAATAAAGAGTTAACTATCAGATGTGTGTCTTCCTTATCTGGGGCAGGCTGTGATAGCAGGTCTGTAAAAAAGCATTTGCAAAAGGTATTAAGTGTCCAGTAGAAAACTGGCAAAGAAAAAGAAAGCTGCTCTAGAATTTCCCATTACTAAAGGGAGTGGGAAATGAAACACTATTATTATTTATGAAGAAGGCACATAACATTGAAGTGTTATTACCTTCACTAGGATGAAATTCTGACCTCTCATGTGCCTATAATAAAGCTCTTATTAATTTTAGTGTGGCCAATATCCAATCCTAAATCATTTCTTTATCATATGCATATTCTTTGTTCATAGAGTAGAGGACAATTTCATGGTGTTCTGCTAAGACTATAAAGTTAATTAATTTATTACAGGCTGTCTTAAATTATTGTACCAAGGGATAGTATACGTGCATCAATCAGCTGCTAAGCTACTCCCCAGTACTTTTTAATATTCATTCAGCAGTGCTTGACAGGTGATGACAATGGAAAACTTCCTCTTTGTGATATGATATGACTTAACTACACACACACACACACACACACACACACACACACACATTCACACTAGCCAAACACACAATCCAGCTATCCTACGCATGGAAACCTATTGAAATCAATTGCCTTAAATGCACTTCTCTCTATGCTAGATAATGCATAGTACTTCCTAATTCTCCTCACAGAAACATGATCTGCACCAGCAATGGAGCATGAAGATGATATGAGAGATGAAGAATGGGGCCAGTACTTTATGTTAGTTTCCATATTGATTTGATTTTACTTAACCTACCCATTAGTCAAAAATGTATTTAACTGGCTTGAAGTAGTTTGGGGAGGGAATCAATTTAAAATTATAACAAACAATGTAATAAACAATAAAAAGCAAACTAATCACTTATGAGACAATAACATTACAGCCTCGGTGAGGGGAAGTCACTGTGTGGAAGTGCTTTCCAGTGACCTCCATGGGGTAGATCTTGTGTAAATCCATTCTATGCTAATAACATTCTGAGCACATTGCAGGATAATTGCTGCAATCCTGTAAAAGACTTCCCAACACGTCTGCTCATTGAAATCCTCAGCACAATGGCTTGCAAGTAATTTTGAGTGTGTCAGGAGTGTGCGCCATACTTGTAGCCAGACCAAAGATTTACATAAAGTGTCACTGGTGCCAGCTAACACCTCCACATAGGTGCTAATTGTACAGATTGTACAAGTGCAATAGTATTTTTGAAGCCACTATGATCATGCAAATCTCATCATTACACTTATTCAGCTCTCATGTCAAGGAACCATCACACACAAACAGTGTGTCTAAAGTGAACAGAGGCTATCCACAAGCTAGCATTATTTCCTGTGAAACGCTGGCACCAAGGCTTAGCATCATTGGGCACATGCCAAGATTTACACCACTGCCAATCCCTGGCGGCTCCTAACCCTGCTCCTCTTCTTCCTTGCTACCTATTTTTCATGTGAGTGAGGAGCAAGAGGAGCAGTAAAATTCACACCTCATGGCATCACTCCCTCTGAAATATGGTACAACTGAGCCCAGAGGGAGAAGCAAGCAGATTGGCAGCCAACAACAGGGTTGAGGTGGTGGGACCATTCAGACAGAAACCCATCCACTTCAAACCTGAAATAAGCACTTGTCCCTGTGGACTCTATAGGTATTATCGTGGAGACCATTGTTAAAGATGAGCCACCTAAAGTACCATTGATTTTACAGGGATGTATTTCCAAGTGTGCCTGAGACAGCCAATCTATACTTCTCTTATAGAAATCTAATCCCAGTCCCATGACAAGCACAAAGACACATTTTTACTCAGGTTGAGAATCTTGCCAGAATCTATTTAATTCTCGCTTGACTCATAAGCGAATAGGATAGAAAATCAACCCACAATATGACTGACCATATCTTCCTTATTGGATGGCAGCAATCATTTAATATATCATTTTCAAATAAATCACTCTGCTGTGCCTAGCAGACCATGGTGAACGGGGTGAGGGGAATCCTTCCAATCTTGAAAATGTTAAAACCGCATCATTCAATCAAATTTTTTCACTCATCCAGTTGTTGAGCACATATGGGAAACTCAGGCCCCAGCTAAGTTCTGCTTTATGGAAGATGTGTGAGAATTAATTTTATCTGCTTGTGGCTGAGGCTAAAGCAAACGCATGGAGCCACATGGTCTTTGCTCTGCTTTGAAAGCTATTAAATGTATCCCAGACATAAGTTTCTCCCATAACTGCTGCCCATTTAACTATTGTAGATGCTTCTTTTTAATTCCCTAAAGGGGGGGGAAATCACTAATCATAGCTGGAAGATGATGTACACCAAGTAAACACAAGAAAGAAAGAAAGAAAGAAAGAAAGAAAGAAAGAAAGAAATTTTGATTCTATGTGTTGTAATTGTCATCTCATATTTCTGAAGCTCTCCGTCATCTAGAGCAGCAATGAAACATGTCTGACCTTCTAGATGCTGTCGGGAATTGGGACCTTATCAGCTCCAGGCAGCATGGCCCATGATCAGAGATGTTGGGAGTTGCTGTTGTTCGGTATTAAATTTGTATACCGCCCTACATCTGTACATAAAATTACAATGTAAAAAACACAAAATACATAATAAAAATAAGAAGAAAACAAACTAAAAATTCCCCTTCCCACAACACATTTTAAAGGGCATCGGATGTCAATCAGCCAAAGGCCTGGTTGAAGAGGAACATTTTTGCCTGGAGCCTAAAGGTGTATAATGAGGGCACCAGCCAAACCTGCCTGAGGGTAGCATTCAAGAAACAGGAAGCCACTGCAGAAACGGCCCATTCTTCCATTCCCACTCTCCAGACCTCTCATGGAGGAGGCACACATAGAAGGGCTTCAGAGGGTGATCTCAGGGTCTGCGTAGGTTCATATGGAGCATGGCAGTCCTTGAGGTATTGCAGTCTTAAGCCATTTAGGACCTGATAGGTCAAATCCAACATTTGGAGCTGGAGTCCAACAACATCTGGAGAGTCACAGGTTGCCTTTAGAGCTTCATGCTCACGAGCCTAAGTGAGAGAAGTTTCACCAAAACTATATCTTCAAGTTTGGGTTGTATGGATATCTGATGACAGGGTTAACAACAGTACCCAAAATGTTTATAATATTTTTGCAGGAAGCATTTCATATACATTGGAATTTTAACAGCTTAGCATTCTTGCTTGGTATTCTGAACAAGCTTGCTGGAATAGTTTCAGGCTTTGTTGCTATGGTTAAGATGCCTTATAATCAACACAAATTAATGCTGTTCGGTTCCATGTTGTCTTGCTCTATATATTGTTTATTGCTATGCTGTCAAATTTTGTGTTTGTACTCTCTTTTAACATTGTAAAGAACACCACACCATTCTTTTCTGAGCTCGTTCAAATGAATTTATTCTTTGTTGTGAGTAAGATTCCACCAATAGAATATCAGCCTCAACAATGCAGAGGCTTTCTTGACATCTGTTGAGTCTGAATCAGAGGACTGAGAGACAACGGGTGTCACTGGAGATCTCCATTGTCATTACCCATTTGGACATAGCAATAGCACTGTCAGGGCTTAGGTCAGATGGCTGTATTTTTAATAAATCTTTAGTTCACTAGGACTCATTCTTTGCCCTTTGTGATTTTGCCTGGCAATTGTAAGCCAGTATACAAATGATTTATTAGCTAACAGTACTGGAGATATGAAGCTCATGCATCACTTTATGCTGATGTTTTCTGGTTTTCTTTTAATTTATGATGCCTCCAAAGTAGAGGTTGTTTTCCATAGTTTTGAAGATACAGCGAGCTCAGGTGGCTTTTCCCTATCATTGTACATCACATCCACACCATATATTTAAAGCACTCTTATACCACTTTAAAAGTCGTGACACACACACAAAGCACCCTGGGAATTGTAGTTCTGTGACAGGTCTCCTAACTCCTTTCATGATGCTTAACAAGATACTTTGGGGGCAGCCATGACTATTAAAGTAGTATGATTACTTTAAATGGATGTTGTGGGTGCGATTACAGAAAATCACAGTACTATTGATAGTTCTAGGGCTTTATTCTGACCATGTACTGGAGTTTTCCTTTCTGTGGTCATATCCATACTTACAGGTTTTTAAAGGCCTAGAACTGGGTGGTCTACATATGCACACACACAGCAAAGCTACACACCATATCTTGCAATCACAGTGCTACATCACTCTTCCAAAAATTGCATGTGGTGTCTTCCATTATGCATGTATAGCATGGGCATAGTCAGGGGGGTGCAGGAGGAAGCTGCCCCCCATCAAAGAAATAAAAAAAATACTTAACTAACTGACCAATCGCATTGGTTCTGCCCCCCCCCCATAAAGCCTGCTCCCCCTAAAATATATCCTGGCTATGCCTTAGGTGTTGACACCCACCAAGCCCACCACAATCTCTCTCTCTCTCTCTCCCTAACTTCCTGTGGGTGCAACCTCCTGAGACATGCTCCCTTATTACCCAGCATTCCCAACCACAGCCTGAGTAGTAACAAGAGAAGCACAGAGGAGCTGTTAGTTTCCAGCTTCCCCTGTATCTTTTAGGCTCAATTTTGCCAGTGAGGGAAGGTGTCCAATTGATTTTTCCATCAGCAGTTGTGTGGTCTAACACACAGCTTCTCAGAGGGAGGGAGGACATCCCCAGTAACCTTCAGCTTCCACCTCTCCTGCTTCCATAATAGGAGACATTTGGATAGGTGAAAAGTGTGTCCTAGCTGGTAATACCTTCCTGCCGCACCCTACTGCATCTTTGTACTAGAATCTGTGAAAATAAGGAACAGCGAGAGGAAAAGAAGAAACGTGATAGTCAGAGGGTTCTGTTAATTTTGTTGGAATGCCATGGAGCTGGGAGATTTTCTCTGTGGTCTTTGTTGAACCTTGATTATAGCATTCAGACTCCATACAGTGACTTGAGCGGTGTTCTACAAGATTTTATTCAGCTCCTTGGCATGACTCCTAACCAGGGATCTACAAACATGTCTCAATCTGTTCTTATATTCATTTGCATGTTCATGTTGTATTTTCTGTTCTGCTGCAATAGATTGCTTTTGCACAGCTCTGTGTCCTGTTTTGCCATCCACAGATGCAGAAATATGCATATTGTAACTTATTTTTTACTAGTAGACAATAGACCTGTATATCTCGGGCATCAACAGATACTTACAAATCAATTACCTTCCCTGTGTGCTCCTTTTCAAAGTTAATGGATTTCCAGAGGGGTAGCCCTGCTAGTCTTTTGCAGCAAAACAACCAACAACACTGTGACACTTTAAAGACAAAGTTAATGAAGTGGCCAGTGGCCTGTCCCAAAGCCACCTCTGGGCTGCAAACCTAATTATGTCAACGGGAATTCAAGTTCTGTTAAATTTAGGCTTACTCCCTGGCAGTGGTATAGCATGGGTTGATAGCAACCAGGGCCGTGTGGAGGTGGTGGATGGGAGGGAGGGAAACAGATGGAGTAGACGTGTATTCAATGGTCTAATGATGCCTTTACTCAATAATTTCTTTCATCGCACTGAGTAAAGCTTTGATCTGTGCATGTGCCCCAATTTGAGCATGCACAAAATCTGCCTGATCTGTTCAAGGCACAACAGAACCAGGCTTCTGTTTTCAAATCAGATGAAAGTTGGTTTCAAGAAAAAATGCATCAAAGAGGAGTATTTCCCTTAAAGCTATGGGACACAGCTGGAACTGTGTATCCTTCTTCTTCTTCTTCTTCTTTGACAATCAGAAGTTCATTGTCTTCCATGAACACGGTCTTAATGGTGTGTCCGTAGGTGACTGTGGAGGCCAGTTCTGGATCCACACGTCCTTCCACAGTGGGGACATAGGTTTCCAGGCAGGAGCTGATCATGGTGAGGGTTTGCCAAACGTGCCTTCCTCTTCCCTTGCATTCTGAGTTTGAGTGTCTTCAAAATCCATGACACCTTTGGTAAAGGCTGTTCTCCAACTGGAGCACTCGCAGGCCAGTGTTTCCCAAATGTCAGTGTTTATACTACATTTTTTTAGATTTGCCTTGAGTCTTTAAACCTCTTTTGTTGTGTACACACTGGAGCTGCAGTAAATGGTAATGTGAACATACCCTTGATTTCACATTCAGGGTAAAGCTGTCATCCTATCTCGTTTCCTTCACTCAGACATCAGGGAAGGACGGAAGAAACCACCAGTGGAGTGGGGTGGTGGAAATGAATGTTAAATTTAATCTTATCTTTAAAATGAATATTTAGGGTGGTCATAAATGGATAGTCAAATTCACCTCCTCAGGCCTGTCAGTGGCAGCCCTGCACAACAATTTCTGCTTCCGCATTGGGACTTTTCCCTTTCTCCTCCCCCACATACTCCCATACCCCTGAAATTGTCTTATGGGGAGAAGGTTAGGAAAACCTCCAGAAAAGCAACAGGGGATATCATTCCATCTGACAGGTTGGAATGCTTGTGCATATGAAACAATTGGATGAGCGCAACCATTGAATTCCACCCTAAATCTGTAATGCATTCCATTGTTGTTGTGAATTTACAATATGAAGCAGATTGAGGTTAAAATCCTAACCCACTTACCAGAAATTAATCTCACTGAATTCATTGGGATTTACTTGAGCAGATATGGTTAGGATTGCACATTTAGGGCATATAGGCTGCACAACATTTCAGAAACCGGAAAAGCTAGGTCTATTGTATCCCTAGTGGTCCTATTCTGGGACGCGGGTGGCACTGTGGGTTAAACCACAGGGCCTAGGACTTGCCGATCAGGAGGTCAGTGGTTCAAATCCCTGTGATGGGGTGAGCTCCTGTTGCTCGGTCCCAGCTCCTGCCCACCTAGCAGTTCGAAAGCACATCAAAGTGCAAGTAAATAAATAGGTACCACTCTGGCGGGAAGGTAAACAGCGTTTCCATGCGCTGCTCTGGTTCACCAGAAGTGGCTTAGTCATGCTGGCCACATGACTCAGAAGCTGTACACTGGCTCCCTCAGCCAATAAAGCGAGATGAGCGCCGTAACCCCAGAGTCGGCCATGACTGGACCTAATGGTCAGGGGTCCCTTTACCTTTACTAGTGGTCCTATTGTATCCAACAAGAGGTCCGGAGCTATCCAAAGCTCTCCCATGGGGAATGCGATGGCTGACTGTTCTCAGAACAACTATATTGATCACTTCTTCCCCCAATTCTGAAAGAGGACGGTGAGGGGTGCAAAAACATCAAAAAAGAAAAAGAAAAGAGGCCCCTCTGTACATCAGTGAATATGTTAACAACATTGGCTGGAGCCTCCTTACATGGCCATTGCTCCGCACCCCCGCCCGCCACCGATTGGCTGATTTAAACAGGTGCTTGGTGGGAGCCTTGCAGCCTCGGCAGCCAGCCCAGGAGATGGAGCAAATGACCAGCAGCCATGGCGTGGCTTCAGAGGCTGGCGGTGCCCGCGCTGGGTCACAAAAGCCGCCCACTAATGTGACTGGTGAGCAGTCATTGCAAAGCAGTTTACATATCTATTTACATATAAAAATTTGCATGATTTTTTTTTAAGCTATCTACAGAGAACTAAGACTAACAGCTTTCATAGCAGGTGTCTATGCTGCAATCGGCAAGCAGAAGGAAATTTTCTTGATAGTCTGTTTTCTTCTTCTTTTCTTTTTAATTTTTTGAAATTAATAATCGCATAAGACAACAACCCAGCATAAGAAACTTACAACACAGTTTATAGGTTGTATACCACACAGCAGTCTGTGACCACAGAAACAGATCAATAGGTCAATAACAAGCCACCACATGTGAGGCTGTATATAGAGTAGTCAGAGCAGTTTACAAGGAGGCAGACAAAGCATATCAAACGCATCAGGACAGATAATCCCTCCAAAAAGATCTCTGAAGATTAGCCGGTTTACGTTCTCCTGCACTGGAGTTCATATACGAAATAAAAGGAAACCAATCAGTGTCAAAAGTGCCTTGTGTTATGTCACCTCTGAGACGTTTACATCTCTTGTGTGAGCTTATCAACTAATGCCAAATCCCAAACTTTACCACATCTTAATGTGCACTCCCCTGCAGCTTCCCAGTGGCGAGTGATCTCCATTTGGGCAGCTGCTAGTAAGTAAGTTATCAAGCTTTTATATGCTACGGACTTGTTTTGCCCTCAAAATAAAGATAGCAAGGCCAAAGTTGGTTCAGCCTCCAGCTCCCAATGAAAAATATCTGAAATACCTGCAAAGACACATCACCAGAACTGGTTCACTCCTGGGCATTCCCACCTGAGGTGAATAAGCATACCTGGGGTCGGACTCCCCCTCCAGCATTATGGTGACAGCAAAATCAGACCAGTGCCATCTATGCACCAGCTTGAGCATGGATTCTTCCATCTTAGCTGACAACGATTTATTACATAGAACTTTCCACATTGCCTTTCAATTTCCATCTAGAATTGCACCCCTAAAGTCTGTTTTCCACAGCTGCTTTAAACTGCCCCCTCACCATACAGGTGGTCAGTCATCATTTTATACACATCTGTTACCACTCCTTTTGTCATTCCAGAGCTAGTCTCACACAGTTTCTCCAATAGGATTAGTGAGCACAGTGTACCATATGCTTGAGACAACATGGTCATGAAAGACTGTGTTTACATCTTCTGAAACCAATCCTGATTGAGATCCCCCAGCTAAATCTCCAGCTCTTGCAATATTAAAGGTCTGCCCCTAGTAAAGAAGTCCTGCAATATATAGAGAGAAAGGAGAATTTCTAGATGCTGAGATCCAAGTTTGGGGCAAGTACTCTTTGGTGAGAAAACCCCTGCGGAGATTTAAAAACACAAAACATGCAGCAAAGTAAAGCATGAAAATATAGGCTGCAAAACCTTAAAATGTGCCCTTTAAAGTGAGTTCCAAAATGTCTCCTTAACAAAATTCTTTCCAAAGTTTCCTACTTCTCCCAGCATAGAAAAGAGCACAGGTTTGGTAAGTTTGAAATTTAAATGGTTTACTTACAGACTTACAAACTCTCCAAAGGTCAGATACATGTGCTTCAGAAAAGATTACACAGGCAGTAAAACTTAGCTTAGTTACAAAGTGATCAGAGTTCCTAAATTATTGGTATAGATCCAGAAACTCAAGGGTGGCCTGTGCGAGCCATGCGGTCTGAGTTGCAGCAATTACCTCAAACCTCTTCACATGTTGAGCTTCTCAGGTAGACTATGGGGTTGAATAAAGGCTTGATTACATAGTTGCTCCCAAGCTGAGAGAAAGTGGACAACTAAGCCTGGCAGGACAGCTTACTCTATGGTATCAACCCCTTCATGTAGTAATTAGGTTTAAGCATGTTGGTTATATGAGGCTGATTATCCCACAGTATCCTTTGAAGCCCCCTTCGCCTTCAATCCCTGATACTGAAAGAATCTTTAAATTTCAGGAGGTTCAAAAAGGGTAGCAGAAGAGACAAATCATGAGCAAACTGTTTTGCCCACTTCACCCAAAACTTACCGTAAAAATGGATAGGAAATAAAGCAAAGTTTTCTACTCTGGGAGAAGCGAAAGGATGGTTCTCCAGTATTTACAAAACCAAGGCTTAGCTTCTGTTTATATACATGATATGTCATTTCCATTCTAAATAAACCTAATGAGCTGTCTCACCTGAAATGTCTCATAATATGTAGATGAAGCACACTGCAACCACCCTCAGCAGACCTTCTGTACTCTAGGTCTGTTACCTCTTCCATTAAAATATATCAAATAAGTGCTGCTACTTTTGAAGCTCACTCAGAGGAATAGGGAGGGTTTGAAATAAGAATGAGAACTTGGGGAGCATTGCCATTTGAAGTGACACATTCTTTCCCAACCAAGAAATTTTCAAGCATTCACATCAATAAACAGTTTGCAATAAAAGGACAAGGTTTCTCTTTTGCAATTGCTACATCTCTTTCACAATAAGAACCCCAGGCTATCTAAGGCACCCAAATTTCAAGGTTAGCCCAGAGAGTTCTTTCTGGGTGTCCAAAAGGATAGGTACGCATGTGAGTCCAAATTTCTCATAGTTCACCTCAAGACCTGCTATCTCTTTGAAGTCATGTAATTGCTCTTACAACACTGGATAGCTTTGTCAGAATTGTCTAACATAAACAGGGTATTGTCAGCAAAGAGACTGATGCAATGCTATTCCCCATTTTAAAGAGAGAGGCTGTTGCTCCCTGTGGTGTGTTCTCTCTTGCCCAGGCTTGCCTAATCTCATGATTACTCTTGCTCCCTCTTCCTATTTCTCTAGTTCCTTACCACGAATTCAGTCTCATTCAAGTGGAAGGACTGTAGCTCAGCAGTAAGAGAATGTGTTTTGCATGCAAAAAGTCCCCATTTCAATCATAGGCAACTCCAAGTAATTCTGGGAAATACACCTGTGTGTAACCCTGACAACCTCTGATAGTCAATACAGAGTAGACAGTGACGAACTCAATGGACCAATACTCTGACCTTAATTCAGTAAACAGCAGTTTTGGCTTTTGTACACCATGCCTCCTAGCTTGTTGGCTTTGGACTGAAAATGCCAGATTTAACCCTCTGAGTAGCTGACCTTTGTGTTTGACTCCTTGTCTACAGCTCTCCCTAAATGTTAGCTGGGCTGGATTCTGCACTCTATACTGACAACTAGTTTATCAACATATTTTCCTTTTAAAAGATCCTTCCTGGATGAATGTCATTTTCAAGGACAATTGTTACCATAAAAACACCCAGTGAGTAGGCCTGATTGACCTCTGAAGTTTGTCACTCATGTCCACCTCAGCATCAAATTCATAAAAGTGTCTGTCCTCCTATTTGTTGGAATATTCCAGGGATGGGAACTTCCAGACGGGAATGTGACCTTCCAGATGTTGCTGGACTTTGACTTCCATCATTCCTGACCATTGGCTGTGCTGGCTGGGCACGATGGGAGTTGGAGTTCAATGACATCTGGAGGTTCCTCACCTGAAATATTCCTGAAATGTTCCTGGTTAAAGCCCAACCAGAGCTCCTTTTCTCTAGTAACTGGATTTGGGAAAACATAGCTCATTTCACTTATACATTTTTGAAAATATGTAGCACTTGAAATTTTATGCAAGCACATTTTGTAATTTTAGTCCACTCATCTGATACTGTATTTATGAGAGACAAATGCTTATAAGAGACAAAAGTGGTAACTATATTCGGTATTGGGGGAAAATATACAGTCTATCGTTCATATCAGACAAAATGAAATTTCTGTGAAGTGCTCAATAATTCACTGTATTTTATTGGATTAAAGATGGGAAATAATTTCACCTGCTCTTCATCATGCTTCTGATATTTTATCTTTTTCCAAATTAACACTTTATAGCAAAATGATTAGTGATACAGTGGTTAATTTTAAAACAGTATTATAACATGGAATATATTTTAATGTTGAAGATCTTTTTCCAAGTGGGTGCAAATCCTAAGGCTGAAAGAAAGGAACTATTTCTGAAGAGGTATTTTAAATAGATTAGTACTATATGGCTTCAGCATCAAATAGGAGCTCTGGGACAGGAGCCCTGTTTAGGGAAGTTTTTAATGTTTGAAGTTTTATCGTGTTTTTAATGTTGTGTTGGGAGCTGCCCAGAGTGGCTGGGGAGGCCTGGCCAGATGGGTGGGGTATAAGTAATAAATTATTATTATTATTATTATTATTATTATTATTATTATTATTAGATCTTGCATGAAATAATAAAAATAACTAAGGAAGGATTAGACATGGGGCACATGGTTCCTTGTTGCATATATATATATATATATATATATATATATATATATATCTCAAATCATATTCTTTCCCTCAAAGAATTGTGGGCACTGTAGTTTGTTAAAGGTTGCTGGGAATTGTAACTCTGTGAGGTATAAATTACAGTTCCCAGAATTCTGTGAGGGAAAGACTATGACTTTAAGTTATAGCGTATCCGCAGCCATAATTGGTAACTCAGGAGTACAAGCGCCAAGCCAGTGAGAACAGAGCATGTATATCACCATGAACTAAATGGTACAATACAATATCTTTACTGTCATTGTCCCATACGGAACAATGAAATTGAAAATCTACATAAAACATTCAAAAACCCCTAAAAACTCTGAAACCCCATTTTAAAATACAATATGCTATAGAGACTCCTTGTGCTGTGTTTAGAACCAGAATTGCATTTGCGTAGAAACTGTTTCTCAGGCGGCTAGTCCTGGTCTTTATAACCCTATACCTTCTTCCAGAAGGCAGAAGCTGAAAGAGATCATTTCCGGGGTGTGTCCTATCCTGCGCTATCTCTGCAGCTTTCTTATGGCACCTGACCGCATAGATTTGATCTAAGGTGGGAAGAGTGCACCCAATTATTCTCTCTGCAGTCTTTACAACCCTGGACAGCATTGTTTTTTCCCTGGCCATGCAGCTCCCAAACCACACGCACAGACCATAAGTTAATACACTCTCCACAGTGCAATGGTAAAATGCCATCAACAGGTCCTTTGAGAGATTGTTTTTCCAGAGGCTTCTCAGAAAATATAACCTCTGCTGTGCTCTCTTCATCAGGTCTTTGCTGTTTTCTCCCCAGCTTAGGTCATCTCTGAACTCCATTCCCATAAATCGAAACACCGAGACCTGTTCCATGCATTTCCCCTCAATAATAAGTGGCTGAATATTCAATTTACGTTTCCTAAAGTCCACAATGATCTCTTTTGTTTCCTTTAAGTTAAGGAGTAAGTTTTTTTCCCTGCACCACTCCCCCAACTGTTCAACTTCCTTCCTATAGGCCGCCTCCCCCTCTCCAGCCGTGATTAAACCAACCACCATTGTATCATCTGCAAACTTAATGACCTTATTACTGGGGTATTTGGGGGCACAGTCAGCTGTATAGAGCGTATATAAAAGTGGGCTCAACATGCATCCCTGCATGGTTAGGCTCTGTAGGGGCAAAGTCCTGGAGGAAAGGTCTGGAAAGTGATGGAAGTCAGCTTGTTCCGCTGGAGAAGCGAACTCTATTTCTGGACTCGTGCCTTGTATAAGGTAAATTGAATTCATTGACATGCATTATTGAATATGCGTTTATGCATGCAAAGAGATGGGAATCAGCTCTTGTATATCTAGCATTCTTGGTTATATTTGTATTGTGAGTGCAGGGTTATGTCAAAGGATCACAGGAAACTACTTCATCCTGAGTCAGACCATTGGTCCATGCCTACTCTGACTGGCAGCAGTCTTTTCCCAGTCCTTCCTGGAGATGCCAGGGATTGAACCAGGGACCTTCTGCATGCAAAACAGGTGCTCTGCCAATGAACCACAGCCGCATCCTTTGAGTTGCAATGTCCAAGTTGCTATTTGTCATTTTGTCCCACTGCTTTGGGAGTAAAGCTCTTTGCAGAGAGAGCAATTGTGTAGTGACCAGAACTTTGGTTGATTAGATGATCATTTGGACTGGCTGACTACAAAGTTGGCAAACAAACGTTACCAGACCTTCTCCCTGGGCTCAGAGGAACTATCTGTGGCATCGCTTTGGTTCATCCAGATTGCTTATGCATTCATTTATTTGTGGGCAACTTTGTACTTGTCTGTATAATGGTGGTTCCAACTAAAGAAATGTTCTTCACTTTGATTTTTTCCCCCCAAGGTTCATCCCACAGGGCCCTTACAGATAAAGTGTTCAGGGGGGATTTGGGGGGGATGGAAGCCTGAGGAATATTGGAATAGAGGGCTGGAACCCAAACACTCCTCAGTGCAAAGTTTGGTTGCAAGTCCTTCTCCTACATTGTGATAGACCTTCCCAGCACTGCATAAAAAATAAATAAAGCTGAATTCACAATGCAGAGCAAACCATATTGCAGTGATAAGTTAAATGCTACAGCTAACTTCAGAAGCCATCTGTATGGAACAAGATTACTCAGCTAGCAGAGATAGCGAGCCAGAATGTTTATGGAGGGGATATGTGGTGATGTAATATGGCTGTCCCAAATGCATAGTGATAAAATCTTTATAGCTCGCCATACTTTGTGAGGTGCAATAAAAATTTTTTATTGCTGTGCATTTGAGATGAGTGTATTGGTTGCAAGTGGTGGAACCACAAGTGAGTTCTCCAAGTCTTTTGTGGACAAGTGTCACTACTAAAAATGCTTTATATTATAGCATCAAATATATCATGAAGTGGGTTATCCCTTCAGATTCCCTTGATAAACCTAACTTCTCTTTCTCTCTTTTTGCAGTACACTAATTACTCTGAAAGTACTGTTGTCATTATAATAGCAGCACTCATCCTCTTCTTTAAAAAAAAAAATGTCTTCAAGTGTGGGTTTACCTAATAGCTTAAAACATATGGTTGAAGGCCAGGTAGCTTGTATGAATAGGTTTAGGGCTTGAATGTATGTGAATATCATGGTCATAGATTCAAAATAATGATCCGCCTATTATTATTATTAGAGGTAGTATTACTATGTCTTTTTGACCATAGGGACTATAGCCCAGTTTAAATACAGTTTTAGGGATTACACAAATATGCCACAAGCACTCAGCAGAGTATTCCCATATGCATGTACAAACCAACCAGAGCCTGTCATATCCAGTATCAATGATGATTTCCTGTTGTTGTTGTTGTTGTTGTTGTTGTTGTTGTTGTATTTATTAAATAGTTATACCTCCCTCCATCCAAAGATCATAAGGTGGTTTACAACATAAAAACACAAAATACATAACATAATAATAACAAATAATAACACACACACAACACATTTAAAAGGCCATAGATTGCTTAATCAGGCAAAGGCCTGGTTGAAGAGGAATGTTTTCGCATGGCAGCTCAGTAATTTGATATTGTCTAAACCAGTAATTCAGGAGTGGTTAGGGCATATTTTGGATAGCCACCATAACTAAGGGATCACTACTGGAGGCATGGAGGCCAGGGCCATGTCCTTTTTAGCCTAGACTCTAGGTGGATTGTTCTTGCCTAGAAAGCATATTTGAAATAAACAGCAACAGTTGTTGTTGCTAATCTGCGTGCCATTACAAAATCTTCTAAGTGTGCAATGAATGCATTCAATAAAGATACCTGCAAGTCCAAAGAGGCTCCCTGTTTCATCCCTGCATGAATCACAGTTCTGGCACTGTTGCCATCCAATCAGACTTCCCTGACCTCCAGGAGGTAATTTTGCTGCATCATTCAGTCACTCCCAAGGCAAAGACACTGCAGAATTTCCTGCCTTCAGAAAGGCATGCTGAGAACAGTGACTCACCCAGGAGGGCAGGCCATTCATCTCTCATACTCACATTTCAGTAAAATAATAGGCAGTCAGCAGTCCTTCATGTGCCCATCCTCAAAGCAGAGGTCGCACAGAATTTCGTTTCCACATCTTACCCACAGCTGTGT